TTTTATTTCAACAAAGTCTTCCAGTTAACAAATTCAAAACAGGGCAGACTGCTGTGGACCCAAGTCTTTCCTGATAAAGTAGATTCAAATATATAGAAATTTACACTAATCTTTAATTATGGACAAGTTGTCATGAGAGCAGGCATTCTGTCAGGTCCTTGTGTCCAAAGCCATTGACTTTTTCAGAAAGTGTTCTTTCTATAAGCGGACAACTTTTGTAGTGGTGATAGCAAATGAAGGGACTTTGACTTCATTTTATAATGTTTTTAATCCATCTTTCCTCCAAGGGAGTTCAGAGTAGTGGTGAATTTTAAAGTGCAGGTGTTCATCATGATAGTCCTTGTAATAGCCCTCCTTCCCCCAAAGAAACTCTAAAAACACTCACCATTGGATGGCCCCCTTACAAGAAATGACAGGCAATTCTTTTTAAAGCTAATGCTCTTAATCACCTATTAATCACCACTCTCAAATACAGTACTTTGAATTATCACAGGGTTAGCTTTCAACCATATACTGATCCTGCAAAATCCATTTCTGTCACAACTATTGTAACAGTGGTAGCTCAAATGAAATAAGAAAGCTTGAGAGGAATGACAGATGATGTCATACTCCCTACTATTCAAAAAGTCCCATAGCTTTGACCCTAGAACCACTGGCTTCACTATACCACTGCTAGTAACAAACCTGACAACAAACCTGTCAGATAATTTGGGCTGAAATTAGTTGTCTGCCTGAACAGTGTGATCAGATGGGACTGGGACCTGGGTTTCTAGACATCCCACAACAGCACTGGCCATTCGGGGACACAAAGGAGCCTCCCTGAAGAATGTGAGGACTGAATGTGAGGACATTCAAGCATCCCCTGAGTAATGACAGCACCCTTTTCGCTGGTCTTCCACTCCAAAAGCACCATTAGATTACTTCTGACATGAACAAAGAAGCAACAGCAGCACTGGCAACTGCATGTTACACACAGATTAGGAGCATAGGAATATATATTAATTACAGTATAGTTTCAAAAGAGCTATGTTAATTTGTGCTAGCATATCAGGCAAAACCAAAAGAAAAATAAAGAAGACAAAAGCATTGTGGCACGTTAAAAACTGCCTGCTATATTTTAATGTGAGCTTTCATGGACTAATATATGTTCTTCTCTCTCTCTCTCTCTCTCTCTCTCTCTCTCTCTCTCTCACACACACACACACACACACACACACACACACACACACACACTATTGTGATTTAGGTTGCAAAAGCTAGAAATATGCAGAAACAAAGCATCTCTGTACCAGCAAGTAAAGGGTTAATAACTACAGACAGAGAGAGAGATAAACACTGTGTGCATACTATATATATAGTATTTATAATCTTGGACAAATGCACACAGTGTTTATGGTTCGGGGATATCTTGTTGAGAACCACTGCAAATGAAGGGTTAAAGCTGAAGAAGGGATTATGCTGTAATAGGTGCCGTTTTCTTTTCAGCCGTCAGTAAAAATACATTTGCTCTCTCAACGAGTCTGGACAGGTGAGAAATCGGAAAGGACTGGAGCCTATGCTTCCGAATGACACAAAGCAAGGTTGTTAGCACAGGCTTCTGCGTTTGTAAGCAAACTTCATTCAAGATTACTTAACTCCCTGCTGCCTCACGTCAGGGTCCCTTGATATCCTTTAAAAAGTCTGCTTTCTGCTCATTTATATATAGGCACAGGCTTCCAGGACAACACTGAATGGCTAGAAATGATTCACTGAAAAATGTCTGATTATAATTTAATTTATTTTATCTCCCATATTTTCCCCAATACACCTTAAGGCACCTTAAACATTGCAGGAAAACAGATACAACTAAAATATAATTTTTAAAAAATCATGAAGTGTAAGGCTGTGTCACTGGGGACCAAGATCAAGTGGGAATTTACTCTCCCTGTTAAGGATCAGATGTGCAGTTTGAGCATGATCCTAGAGCCAGCACTAACCATGAAAAGACAGGTCTCCGCTGTAGCGTGCTCAGCCCTTTACCCAGTTGTGCCCCTACCTGGATGACGGATCCCTAGCAACATTGGTCTACACATTGGTAGTCTCAAAAACTGACTACAGCCATGCACTCTACCTGGGGCTTCCCTTGAAACTGGTACGGAGGCTTGAGGAGATCCAGAATACAGATTGGCTGGGTTAAGGATGTTGGACCCTATTGCTCCAACTCTGCTTCTGTGCCAGATTTAAGGTCTTGGGTTCTAACATACAAAGCCTCAGTACTTGTCTGAACATCTATCAAGACTGGCTGCCCATCTGACTCAATCCTCACAGACCTAAAGCCTGGAAAATGACAACTAGAAACCGGGCTTTCTCGGCAATGATGCCTTCTTTGTGGAATGCTTTCTTGCACGAGATACAGCAGGTGCCCTCTCGCCATACGTTCAAAATTCTCTAAAACAGCTGTTCAGATAAGCTTTTGGGGAGGTTATCTCCAAGTAGCTGGGACAGTGGATAAAGGAGAAATATATTGTAATTTATTATTTGTAATGATTATTGCCACCTGTCTTATCTTTTTTTCTTTCTATTTGTGATTTTTTAGTGTTTCTATTAATTATATAACTTACATTTTATTTTTTTTATTTTTTGCTGTGTACTGCCCAGAGTCGTGAATGGCTAGAAGGGTATTATATAAATCAAATAAATAAACAGATAAGCAAGCAAACAAACAAAAAATAACCCACCCTCCTGTATTTCTGATCACTGTGTATGAGTACAAAAGCTGGACAGTTAAGAAAGCTGACAGGAAAAAAATTACTCGTTTGAAATGTCATGCTGGAGAAGAGCATTGAGGATACTCTGGACTGCCAGAAAGACAAATAAGTGGGTCCTAGATCAATTCAAGCCTGAAATATCTCTGGAGGCAGGTTATCCTATTTTGAGAACATCATGAAAAGGCAAGACTCTCTGTAAAAGACAATAATGGTGGGAAAAATTGAAGGCAGCAGGAAAAGAGGAAAAGCAAATACGAAATGGGCTGAATCTCTAAAGCAATCCACAAGCTTGTGTCTACGGGAGCTGAGCAGGGTTGCTAAGTCCAGAACATTCTGGAGGTTGCTCATTAATAAGGTAACCATAAGTCAGAAGCCCCTTGGTACACAGCAAAAAATAAAAAAATAGAATGTAAGAACAACACAGAGTATATTGTTGATTAAAACAACCAGCAAAATATAACCATTTAAAAACACCACACCAGAGGGAAAAGTGCAGCAACCTTCAAATAAAACCATTTTCTCAATAATCACTTGGTTGCTAAAGGCTGCCTGAATAAAGAGGTATTTTGAATGCTAGCAGAAAGACACCAGAGAGTAAGGCAATCAAGCCTCTTTTGGAAGACAGACAACCTGGGAGTAGCCACCCTGAAGACTCTTTCTGCAGTTGTAATGAAAATATCAAAATGAAGGGTATATTAAGCAGCACAGCACAAGCCTTTACAATATTGTGCATTTGACCAAAACAGGTTTCCTCAATTCCTCGCTATCTCAATCTTGATTCACCTAATTCTTTGATATTCCAGGCCACACCTCCCTACCATTCTGCCAACATAAAATAATAAACTGACAGATGGAACTTGGAGGAGGAAACCATATATTCCTTCTGCCTGGTCTTGCAGTGAAATCATCAACCACGTTTGGGATACTACACCCATTATTTCCAAGGGAACCAATTACAAAGCCATAAATAACACAGGAATATTAGAACATCAGTGGAGGCTGAAGTTTGCGAAGAGGAAAAATGTGTCTCAGTGTGCAGCAAAATATCACGGTAGCAAGCAAAAGCTTAACACATCCTATGCTGGCTGTGGCAGATTTTTCATATGGTCTAAATTTTATATCATGAAGAGAGAATGATATATAAGAATAAGAATATTGAAGTAAAAAGTGTGATGGAAGGGAATAAAATATTCGTTGTAGTTTTGCTATTTTCATGATAGGCATATGATGAGACTAATAAAACATGCAGTTTTGTTTCATGGATACATTTTTTTGGAACCCTTCAGGCTGTTTCACATATTACAAAACTCTTACACTGTACTGTAGTCACTTCCAAGTAAGAAAATTCATCATTCTTATATATAGGTTGTAACATGACACTTCACATATATTATGTAAATGCAGGAATTTTCATTTGTAGGGTTGTCACACCTTATATTTTAACAATCATAACTAAGGTTGTGAAAGTCCCTTGGGGTTTTTTGTGTTTTTTTGCAGTGCATTTCTCAAAATCAGGTTTATGAGACTTTTTTCTTCCTACATGGAGATTCGTGTTTACAATATTTTAGTGTATATTTTCCCTAATGCATGCATTTTTCTTAAGGTGCATTTTCCCAATAGACTAAAACATGTTTGTGCATTAAAGAGCTCTGTTAAAGAGTGTAATAAAAATATAAATTGCACTAATACACACACCCAAATGCACACACATATTTAAACTTAGAAACCTGAAAAATCAAGATTTTTTTAAAAGCTGAAATTACATCAAAGTAGGCATCAAACAAGCTTCCCTACACAAAGCAATGCACAGCTGGGGTTCTATTACTGAAAAGGCCCCTTGCATTAAAACTCCAATTTTGCTATAACAGATAGCAGAATAACTCAGAGAAGGGCCTCCAGGCAAGATTGACAGGGAATGGAGAGAGAGAGAAAAAATGGGAAAATGACAACTTTGTTCCAGGAAAATTGCTAGAGGGCAAACACCAACAAATAATGCACAAATTAATGTATAAAATAATTTAGAGCTGTAAAACTATTAGTGTTAGCAAATATTGCTGAATTCTGGTTTGTAATGGATGTGTACATTTTATAATTGTAACTATTCAGCAACATAATGTCTGTCTCGTTTGAGTTTTATTTGCAATCTTGCATGCTGTCTGTAGTTTGTGTGAATTCGGAGGGAGACATTTCTGGCTGGGGTGACTATCAAGCACTAACCAATCATTTGTTTCAGCCTTTGAATTCAAAGAGACCCCTGCCTTTCTGCTGAGTGCTTCTTTTCTTTTCCCTCTCTTTCCTCCTTTAGTGTCACTTCTTTGGTTGCTGTTGGATCTGTATAGTATGCAGGAAACAAACATATATACAAGTCTGTAATTTCTAGCAACTATAAGAAAAGACATGTGTTTATTTTTTCTCCTACAATGTCTGAGTGAGTTACTGAGACTTTAAGCGCCAATTAATGAGAAAGGGGTGGGCTCTGGAAACTTTTAGCTATTCTTCTCTGTGGATCTCCATACTTCTATTTCATAGCAAAACTTTTTTTACCAGAAATTAAAAACTCTGAAACATATACTTCCAAGTTTATGCATGAAGCTGAAGCTCTAAAAACAGAATGTGTTACCACGTAGAAAATAGCATTTGTGTAACTAGAATGCATGTGCAGATTTTGGGTGCTTAATTAGGAAAATGTATTTTCTAGCATGGAAAATCTATAAGAGATGGTTTAATAGTTCAAAAACTGACCATCAAACTAGATGGAAGCAGCTGAATCATTCAGCATTTTCACTTAATATTACTATCCAAATATCTGGCTCACAAAATCATCAGGTGGTTTGGAAAATCAAATACTGTATAAACTCCTATAAAAACATGAGCAATAAGAAAAGAATGACAGGATAACATAGATTAAAAATTGACAAGAAGCATAGTTCAAAAACCGAATCCTAGAAAGAATGGGGTGGGGGCAGTCCAGCATAAGAATAGTAGCATCTTCTGGAACTCCCTAAGACATTCCAGAAGATCTGGAACTTCTTAGGGAGAAATCTTTGTCCCCCACCACCATCTAGGTAGGCTACAGTAAATGGTTCTGTTTGTATCAGCATCCATATGCAGCAGCAATTTCTAGCATGTTTCAACAGCTGCCATCCCCTCCTTGGTCTCCATTTTAAAATTTAATCCCAATGCTGATTGTGCTGCCATTGTGCCCTCAGCCTCTCTTTTCTCCACCTTGCAACCTGTCCTCTTCCCTGTCATCTCCCCATTTAAGCTTTGATCCCTTTAATCTTCTCTCTCATCCCACCGACCAACCCTACTCCTTCCCTAACTGCAGTGCACTGGTTCCTAACGACAGTCCAATTATATTTAGGCTTTATAAAAATAATAGTGACAATGAAATAGCATTAATCTGCAAAATTAACCAGATGGAGCCAAGGATGGCACTTCTCAAGTTCCTTTTTGCATTAATATGTTACTCATTTTAATAACATCTGGGGAAATTATTACAGTGTTGGTCTTGACTAAAAATCCCAGTGTCCGTTTCTGTCTCCGCTTAGCCCTAATGTTGGATATCACCTGTGAAGAATGGGTATCCAGTGGCTGCTAGAACGAGCCAGTGAAAGAAATGATTTTGATATAGCAGAAGATTCAGGAGAAAACTGCAGAGATTGCAAAAAGGGACAGAAATACAATTAGAATTTTGATAAACAGAAATTAGTGAAACGGTTAATGAAAAATATGGAGGTTCTCATGTAGTGAAATAAAGAGGAGGAGATAGCAAATGGAAATCAAACAGAAAGAAGAGATTTGGGAATGTGGAGCCAGAACACATTCACAGGAGACTTCCAGTGTATACTGTATGTCACAGGAACTCTTAGATGTGTCGAATCTAAATTTTGCAGCCAGAGAAGTCTGTAACTCGAAAAGTCTGTAAATCGAGCCGTCTGTAAGTCGAGGGTCCACTGTATAGGATTGTACTCTTGCTGTATGTCACAGGAACTCTTAGATGTGTCCACTCGGCAAAACGATATGGGGCTTATCTTTAAGGAGATACATACAGCCAAAGAGGACAGGATGTACCACTACAAACTCCTTTCATTTTATGAGGAGCAACATAGTGTGGGATTTTGAAGGAAAATAACCAATATTAAGTGAGATTGGAAGAAATTCACGTGGATGTCAGAAGAAAAGACCAAGCAAACAGGAAAAGAATCCCACCTCAGTGTGCGTTCCTACATGCTACATTCCAGAGCCCTCTTGGTCTGCAATCCTGCATTGCTTCACCTGGCAGTAAAACTGACTGAAAGCAATGGGGCTGACCTCTGACTAAATTTGTATAGGATTGTACTCTTAGTCACTCAAATATTGTGAACATCCATACACTTAATATGCCTTGATGAATTTATTTTCTTTTAAAAAATTTCAAATGGCATAAATGTAACAATTTTTAATGAGTGTTCAAAGTTTCCAGAGTTTCAGGATACTTCTAGTTTCTCGTAATCACACAACTTTGTGCCAGTCCCATTTCTATACCAGAAATCTCTATGCTTCAGCTTCTATAGTAGTACCTAGAATGTTGCCATACATGTGTCTACTCAGGAGTAAAACTATGTAAGTCATATCTAGGCAGAGCCTGGAAAAGTTTCTGGCCATGCTGGCCAGGAGATTCAGTCCTATAAAATACCTTTTCCAGCTTCTGCTGCTAGGTACACTTAAGTCTGCAGCCTGAAGCTAAAATGCTATGAGACAAAGACCCCTCTAATGCAAAAGAACTTTCTTCCAAGTAACCAAGCATAAGCTTGCCTGTACAGTTGATGTGTTTATTGAAAACTTTTACAACTTTTCTCTTGGAACCAGTGATTAGACAATCAGTACTGACCAACCATGGCAAGAAACCATTATGTCTATTTTTCATGCTTTCAGGAAGTTCCACTAATAAAACTCAAAATTCTCAGGAGCAAAGTGGAGAAAAGAAACTGTATGGTTATTTTATATAACATCCCTTCTCCATGCTAGCCAGCAACAGATATAGTAACAGCTTCTGAAATGTGCAGGTTCTGGGCAATAGGTACCAGATTAGCTGTACTGCTTCCTTTAATTTAGCAAAGTCCTGCAGAACTGGACAGCTGCCAGTCACGCTGTCAAGAAGAGAACTATTTTGGGAATTTTTATGATGGAATAATATTTTTTTGGTAAACAAACGGAAAGCTGTTAAACAGGGACCTTCACCTCTCAGCTCCCAGTTCACCTCCTTCACTGCTGCAAAACCACAGTGGTTGTACTGTCCACCTCGAAGAACCCCCCTCACAGCTCTAGTAGGGACAAAATAAACAGCAGCTTTTTCTGCTCCCTTTTCATTAACTCTTCAACACAAAAATGCAAGGAAGGTAAGAAAAGGGCTTTCTGGTTCAATGGGCAGAATGAAGCTTTTACTAACTAGATTTAACGCTTCAAGTTAAAGCGTACTGGCATACAGCCAACTATTAGAACACTACAAACACGCATGCAGTGCATGCTGCTCATAGCATGTCCCCTCAAAGTGGGCATAATTATCAGACAGGGTTTTTTGCCTCAGGGTTGGATAAGCTCGATAGCAATTGGTTTTTGGATTCACATTTCCACTTCTTTGCTTAACAAAACCCCACCTCCGTCATGAATGAGATCAGAAAGAATCTGCACGTGGAAGCACAAGCTACATTTCGGAAAGAAGGAGAGAGACAAAAAAGGGGAACTCAAAGCTGGAGTAGAGAATGTTTTATTCTCCAGTTGTTTTGAACTTCAAGTCCTTGAAGTCCTAGCCATCATGGCCCATAGTTAATGACAACGGTAGAGTTTAGAAAAGTAATTTTTCTGGATCATAGTACCCAGAATCCCCCAGCCAGCATTGCTATTGCCTACAAAAGTGTGACATTCCAAGGTCTTTTTATAGTCAAAAACATCTGCAGGCCCAAAATTCTCTCTCTAAGTTAAAAACATCCAGGTAACAAGGGGCAGTTCTCTCTTGGGATAAGACAAGGCCATGCAATTGTTGTCTTTTACAATGTTAAGCTGTGCTTCCATCGGCACTCAGCTTGTCTAATTTAAATATGTACGTTTAAATATTAAAGAAGCACATTTCCAGTAAACACTTCAGGGGAAAAAAAGAAAACCTGCTCCTGCAACTGCTCAGTATTTGGAACAATGAGTGACACTCAAGTAACAACTTCTAGGTAAAAAAAATCAGATTAACTCTGTTATCTTTTAGCACTGGTAGAACCTGAAGCTATAGCAACTTAGTAAATTTATGGAACTGGAAGAAGGTGGGACAATATTTATGCAATGGGAGATAATGGAGAGGCCTGTGTGCCAGAAGAGGTATGCAACTTCAGAAGGAGGGGCCCCAAGGCCTTCTCAGGAATTGTTACTGCAATGGCATGGCATCATATCACAGAAGTGACATACATTGAAACATCCAAAGTTAAATCAATGGGAAGCCCTAGATTACAGTCTACTCTCTTTTGTTTTCTTCATTCCAAAGCCCTGACATAGGATAAAGTTCTAAGTACTGTACATTATCAGGAAGGGATCACAGACCTTATATACCAATACTCACAAACTGGGTCTACACCATGTCCTGCTTTGGGAAGCACACAAATGGATGGTCAGGTCTTAGAAAGAGCATTGTCTAAAGACAAGAGACTGTCCAGGGCCTGCCCAAACATATGGCTAGTACCAGCAGCAAGGTTGGACAGCAGTCAGAAGTTAAAACTTAAACTTGGAAAAGGTACCTTTTGGATAGCCAACATCCCAGAATCCATCAGCCAGTAATGACGCAGTGAGCGATAGCCACAGGCCATGCTGGCTGGACAATTCAGGCAGTTGTAGTCTCCAAATAAATATTTCTAAGTTCTGATGTGAACACAAGGAGAATCCATCAGACAGCAAAGTAATGGAGGTGGGGCATGGGATCAAGAATTGACGCACAAAAATGGTTTTCAGCCTCCTGTGTCCAGATCTGACCGTGTTTAAGCTGAGCCTTCAGAACCTTACCCACAGGACAGCTTTAGGCCATCAGGTGAAGGCATGAGCACTGTCTTTCTCATAAATTTCCCTTTAGTCAGGAAGAGGAGTCCTTATTCCTCAAGTGGACACCTCTGCATTTGACATCCTATTCATCCTGTTCCTTTAGTTTCTTGGTCTTCCTAGAATAAGAAGGGCTCTAGGCTTCCACCTCTGATTTAAAGAGGGAGATATCCACACTATGAGGACAGGGTTCAACTACCATGTCCTCTTATACAGTATACCCCTTGAAGCTGCCTGACACAAGCTGCCCTTATGTGCAACTTTGTTGCAGAAGTGTCAGACTACCCTCCAAAGATGAGTCCACTGTGGGGAACAACATCATCTTATCCTGCCCCCAATGTCTTTGAAGCACATTACTGTAATAGGATCCTTGCTGACTAGACCTTCCACATGTAGAGAGCATTTTGTAAACACAACAAACTTCCATTAAAGCTTATTGTTGCCACTGCAGGCACGTTTCCAAAATATAAGCCCTCCGGCAATCACGTCACCATCTCCTAGGAATTAAATTCTGCTCCATTTCTCCTGTTTTTCATTGTTGCTCTGGGCTGTTTGGGGGAATTACAGCCTAAATATATAATAGATACATACGTACCTTGCTGTTTCTCATTCAGCTACCAAAGTTGGCCCTTGTGAGCTTGATGCTATAGTTTCTATTTCACCTTGTCCATAAACTGGTCCCTCTCACAGACAGCAGTGCCACTAGGAAAAATAAATACATAGCGTGGATTGGGCATAATAGTGTAACCCTAGATTTGACAGCGCAGGTGCTTATCACTACTCAGCTGCCTAAGAAGAATCCAAAAGGCAGGCAACTGGATTAGACCTAACAAGGATCAGGTATTTTGTAAAGTTTTGTAATGCCACACTCAAGCCCCAATCACCCTCAAATAGAAAGCTTACAGTGATGCAATATTTCTGGGGAAATCATTTACTTCCCAGTTACTATGAACATAGCAGCCAGATTCAGGAAAGAGGGGCATCATCAGAAAGGTGGCAGATAATATCTAGTCCTTGCTGCTCAGAAGGTCTGTCAACCCTGCAAGCCCTAGCTGCACTATCATACTGAACAGGCAACATAATACAGCATGGCCTCAGATGGCAGATGCTGGGTAGAAAGTAGAAGCTGTGTGGCTGTGGAAGACAAGGCTATGTGTGAGAGTTAGGGGAGGAGATGCACTCCGGCTCTTCAGTTCAGGCAACAAAATGTGTTGGGCCAGGTATGCTATTTATCCTCCTATACAACCTTCATAGGCATCTGAGAAGTTGTCACTATCTCTTCTCTTCTGAATCCTGAATTGCCTTCTTCTGAAATTCATCAAAGCCTTCAGGAGGCAATTTAGGTGTTTCTATATGTTTCAGCAAGTATTTTGTGAACGTATGAATAACTAATGTCCTGTATCACATTCTTTTTCCAAAATGAGCTTCCTCGGTTTCATGTGGAAATTTATGTTTTACTGTTCTGCTCCATTCTCCTACTTTTTCCATATTGCAATTGTGCTGCTCTTTCAAAGTCTCTCTCTTACTCGATTTGTCTATCAAACTAGCTCCCTGACATTAAAAAAGCATGTCCTTCTTCCTCAAGTCTTTCCTCCACGGCCACCATTTCACATTCCTATGCTACTTGCTACCAAGCACGCATGTATGTATCTATGTATGTATCTATGTACTGTATGTATCTTTCACTGCCCGGGAGGCAGTGGAAGACAGGAGGGCCTGGCGTGCTCTGGTCCAAGGGGTCACAAAGAGTTGGACACAACTTAATGACTAAACAACAACATGTATGTACAGTCATGGCCAAAAATAATGGCACTCTTGCAATTCTGTGAGAAAATGCAACCCTCTCTCAGAAAATTGTTGCAGTTGCAAATATTTTGGTACTCACATGCTCATTTCTTTGGTTTGCGTTGGAACAACAGAAAAAAAAACAGAGAACAAAAGTCAAATCTGAACAATCTCACACAGAAACCCAAAAATGCACTGGCCAAAATTATTGGCACCTTTAACTTAATATTTGGTACTTCCCCCTTTGGAAAAAATAACTGAAATCACTTGCTTCCTGTAACCATGAATGAGTTTCTTACACCTCTCTACTCTCTACTGGACCACTCTTCTTTTGCAAACTGCTCCAGGGCCTTCAGATTTGAAGGATGCCTTCACCCAACTGCTGTTTTGAGATCTCTCCACAGGTGTTCTATGAGGTTCAAATCTGGACTCATTCCTGGCCATTTCAGAACTCTCCAGTGCTTTGTTTGTTGCCATTTCTGAGTGCTTTTTGAAGTGTGTTTTGGGTCATTGTCCTGCTGGAAGACCCATGCCCTCTGGTGGAAATGCAGCTTTCTGATACTGGCCACTACGTTGCAGCCCCAAATTCTTTGGTAATCATCAGATTTCATGATACCGTTAACACAGTTAAGGTATCCCAGTGCCAGAAGCAGCAAAGCAACCCCAAAACATCTTTGAACCTCCACCATATTTGACTGTAGGGACAATAGTAAGTATACAAATAGTTAAAAGAATCGAAAAAAATAGCACACAAAAACCTGGTAAACAAATCAACACCAGAAACACATTCAAAGAAGCAAGGCACAGTGTTCCACTTAAGAACCCTACTCAGAAGGCAGTTACACTATTAAAAGAACCATCTGTTGAACCTGGTTTACTTTCATTTAAACTGTTGTTTTTTAAGGTGGCTACACAACATAAATTGGAACCCGTTTTTTTGTCCAAGACTTCTGTTGTTTTGTTCTCTAGTGAGATTTAAACTGCTCTTCTAGGGGTTGTTTATTTTAACTTGGGACATAATACATTTTTTAAAAAATTAGTGTCCTCAATATGAATTCCCTTCTCTTTCTTTAGTTGGCTGTGGCATTGTCCTGCAACATTCTTGTCTTGCTGGCCATGGCAAAAAAGGACTTTGCAAACAAAATAGAAATCTTGACCATTATCTTCTTTGATAATTAGCCTATGTTACTTGTTTCTTCTGCTTTGCTGTCCACATGCCTTGAGTCACCATCTCCCTCTCCTTAGTCAGCCAAGTACTGAAGGGAGCAGGAAACATTCAGTTTTCAAGTCAATCGTAATTTTTTTTTGCAACTTCCCGTACAAATGTCAGGGATAGGATCAGTTTGTGCAGTCAGTTTGTGAATGCAACATCCTGCATATGTTCAATATACTTCTGCTTATATAACAAAACAAACAAAAAACCTAGTAAGAAACACCAAGAAATCTTAAGTAAAAGAGTACCAAAAAAATAAAAAATAAAACTGGAAGATAAGACCAAGTTTAATCCATGAAAAAGTGCATCAACTGTTGAGAGAATTGCAAATGGGATTCTGCCAGTAGATGTCCAGGCTGCTGGGAATCTCTTCCACTACCGTGAGGGAAGGTGGTTTCAGTGGATCCATAAAGCTGTCCACCAAGCCACTAAACTGACTTTGCAAGGGGATTACCCAAATTAATAGACAGGTTTCTACCAGTGGCAAGAAGTCATGCTAAGCACATATTGCCTTCATTGCAGGAGACGGTAAGAGGCTGACTACACAAGTGTTTAGCCCACAGTTTGGTTCGCTGCAGGGATGAACCGGCTCACGCTTAAAGACAATTATCAGATGACAACTTTGCTGCAACTGCCATTATCATCAAGTGGCTTAAGAAGAGCGCCACTTCAGAATATTGGCAAATTAAACATTTCCTTGGCTCTGTGGAGAGTCAGAGAAAATAAAATTTTAAGCAAAGTTTATTGGGGCAGCGCATATGTGCTGCATCACTTTAAAAAATGAAAGCTAAATTGGAATCTTCATCCCAGAAGCAGGAGGAGACAGAAGGGTGCAATGAGGAGGGGATTTGTTTGCTTTTTTTGACTTGCTCTCCACCAGAAGAGAAAAGCAAACAAAAATCCTCCTTATTGCCCCCTCCTATCTCTTCCTGCTTCAAGAGGTTGTACAGTAGTCTCTACTCTCTAACACATATGGAAGGTGATAGATTGGGGAAAGCTAAAGCTATCCAGAAAACTCACCTACCCAACTCTCATTAATCATGTAATTTCATACCGCTCTTCAGATGTTCTCCACCTTCTCTCTTCCACCCTCTGTCCACCATTCCCTGTTCGGAAGTTGAGCTAGGTGCTGTTTCAGGACCTGAAAACTTTTTAAAAAATTGTTGTATTTCACATTAGCTTCTACTTTATTATTTTATACATTTATATATTTGAATTTTATTATATGCACTTATAAGAGTGACTAAGAAACACTGATTCCCAGTTTGTGTAAAGAATGCTATTGCTCTTTTGTAGAATGATGATTTAAATGATTCACAGCCTAATAGCCACCGCCTTTCCATGTGCACCTGATAGCCTATTCCTTTACTAATTAACCATTGTCACTGTGTCCATTATCTGTATCTCTGTCTGATCATGGGGCCACGTATAAATATGATAGTCATGCAGTCTCACTCTTAAATCTGAGGAAGTGGACTTGATTTATGAAAAGGTACCTTATCTAGAGGACAGGGTATTTCAAAGCAGATGAATGAAGTTACGTATTGTCCTCTAGGTCACTGGTTCTTAACCTTGGGTTACTCAGGAGTTTTGGACTGCAACTCCCAGAAGCCTTCACCACCAGCTGTCCTGACTAGGGTTTCTGGGAGTTCCAATTCAAAAGCATCCGAGTAACAAAGGTTAAGAACGATCACTCTAGGTTCAGGCTACAGAGTGTTAATGTTGCCAATCTGCAATCCAGCATTTTTAATGTGCTTGGATTTGGTGGTATCTCTAGTCCAACCAAAGACAAGTCAGTTAGGCCATGGCATTCAGAGTAAAAGTGTCTGCACTCTGGTCGTTCCAACTTCATAAGATGGCAGACTTAGAGTCTCTAAATCTTGTATATAGATGCACTGTGGCTATGCCTGCATATTGCAGATGGCATCCTGGTCATCTGCACTTAGTTAGATAAATTTCATTGCAGCACTTAGAGGTAATGTTTTGTGTAATGTTTTGCAAGGTGCTCTGAGTTTGCTAACAATAGATAGTTTTCTGTAGTTGCCTTGCCATAGTTTGGAGTTGCTGGTTGGAAATCTACCAAAAAAATACACAGTTCACTGTTAGATTTATAACTTTGATGGAAAATATGTTGCCTTGAATAGTATGTGGCTTTTTATGTTGGAATCAAATGATCAGAGGATTTTATCATACGACCATGATAATTCCATAAGCAACTATGAGTGTACTACAACAATGGTATGTTTTTAATCTTAAAATAAAATGCAAATATATAATTTTAAATTTCCACCAGGCTATAGAATTTTAGACAATTCTTGTCTACAAAGCACAAAGTTCCTATTTTAATTGTGAGCAACTGATGTACAGGCCTCCCTGGTGAGGGAGAAGGAAGAGGGTCTTTAGGTTTCACTTCCTAGTCTACTGAGTCATGATAACACTTTTTATCCCTGAGGCCAGGGCTCATTTTCCAGCCCCAATGAGAAGGGAAGGATGTCAGCCTTGTCTCCATTCATCATCACTTAATCATGCCTCAGAGATTCCACAAATGCCCTATATGTAGAAGTGCCCCATGCACATCAAACAAAAAACACACTAAGGCAGAGACTCATCCACCCAAAAGACCAGACACCAAAACACAACAGGAGCAATATAGTACTGTATATGCAATCCAATGCAAAGAGGGG